TTTCCCTCCTTTCTTCCTTTCTCTTTCTTTCCCTTCTTTCCTTCTCTTTCATTCCCTCTTTCCTTCTCTTTATCCCCTCTTTCCTTCCTTCTCTCTACTCTCTCTCTCTTTTCTTCCCTCTTTCCTCCTTCTGCGGTCCAACTCTAGTGAGAAGGGGGTTAAACTTTAAACCCCTTCTCTCTTCACTCCCCCCCCCCCGCAGGCCGGCTGGGGATGGGAAGGGGAGGCTTTTGAAGACGCCTCCCCCCCCTTTTTGCTTCCTCTTCTGACATCACTTCTGGTGATGTCAGGGGGCGTGGCATATGCTAATGAGCTCCTGCAGCTCTTTTTTTACGAAATGACCCCTGTGTATACTGAAACAATAACGGACATTCTGCACCAGCACTGCAGAAAGCACTGGCAGAGGCAGAGCTCCTCTGCGCCTCTTCCTTGCAGCCACCTTTGGGATGGGTTGCTGCACAGAGAAGTGGGCAAAAACAGAGCCTTTTCTGCTTGCACAAGTAGATTTGCCCCAGTGGAAATGAGGGATAGGATCCAAGCTATGATAAGTATTACTCCATGTTAGCTGGATCCAGCTGTGTTGCTCATAACCTCCTCCAATGGCCCCAAGGGATCATACCTACAGAACAAGGAGTTTTCCTGGTGACATAGTACAACTCTGGGACCAGTGACAGGTTCCACCCTACTCCAGTTAAGTTTTCAAGATTTCTACAGGAGCTGCCTATATGTTTTTAAAGTTGTCTTTTTAACCACGAAGAAACAGGGCTCAGTTGGCTTAAAGTGAAAGCTGAAATACTAGAAAAAAACTAACATTCTGCCATTTCACAATAGGGTCCTTACTCTGGAATCTTGAAATCCCTTGCTATAGTATCTAAAGTATCTGGTGGTCCAGCCAAGCCAGGATTTCATTCGTATCATGAAAAGAAGAAATTACTACAAGGTACTGTGGAGTTCCTGTAATTAAGACGCTAAACAGAAACTAGGCAGGCTGTTCAGTCTCTCAGCCTGAAGTATGGGGATCACACTGGCCTACTTTACAAAGCTGTAATAACATACATGGCACAAATCCCAAGTGGTATTATCAGAGAAACTGCTAAAAAAATTGCAGTTTAGCTATCCCTGACAACCTAAGATATCTTCTAATCTTTAAAACTGTATTCCATTCAAAGGTTAATTTTCCGCTTGTAGGCAGGTCTCAATTTGCACTTTTGAAAAGAAAGCATGTAGATGTACCCATTTAAACAAAAGGAAACAAGGCAATTTGGCTAAGAATTCTAAGTTAGCAGTACTAGTGATTTGTAACCAATTAATGCAGCTGCAAAAAATACTTTCTACCAACTCAGCCTACCTTGCAAGATGGCCCCTTACTTTGATAGGCTGATCTGGCCACCTGGATCCACACCACAGTAACATCGAGGCTAGATTACTGTAACGCACTGTGCATTGATCTCCCCTCAAAATCAACTCAGAAACTCCCAACTGGTCCAGAATTCACAGCTCAGCTATTCGCAGGAGCTAGATGGAGCATTCACATTACTCCCATTCCACAGACACTCCACTGGCTGTGCACCTGTTACCAGGCTAAGTTTAAGGTGTTGGCTATCATATACAAAGCCCTTCATGGCCTCGGCCCCTCTTACTTGTAAGACTACCTCTTTCTCAGCTCCACAACAACAACTTTGCTCATGTCAGCAGGGGCTTCTGTGGGTGCCAACCTGCAAATGGGCAAAACCAACAACGTCCCATACACATGCTTTCTCCATTGTGCTTCCAGCCTTGTGAAATGACCTGCCCGAGGTCAGGAAACCTCCAACCCACTTGGGCTTTCTGTAAACTATGCAAAACTGAACTATTCAAATAGGCTTTCTGGCACAAGTAAGTATGGTTGCAATGTACAAAATGGTCGACAAACTTATTTGAATAAATGTCTGGGACTGTGCTTCATACTTATAGTTTATTGTAAGAAGGATCCAATTAGGCAATTTTTGTACCACTTAATGTATCATTTTTAATACTTATGCTTCATTTCTTTCTAGTGGTCCCAGACTTCTAAAATCCTAAAGCATTGGCTATTGAATGTCCCATTTTGTTGACTGTACTGACTCACTACGTGTAATCTGTCTTGTAAGAAAGGCAGACTGTAAATAACAAATCAATAAAATTTCTAGCTCCTTCCTGTGCTACTCAGTGACACAGGGTTGTGTCTAATAAAACTGTGCATGAAGCTCACAGAATGGGGTCTACCTGCCTCCCACTGCAGCCCTTGTAATGCTGACCCAGGGTTCAGGGTATACCTAGGAACAGTGCAAGCCACAATGTGGGGAGTCTAGAGGGAAAGACAAAAGTCACCTCTCCTTCCTCTGGTGGGCAATGACTACTGTATACAGCCCACAGTGTATGCTATTATGAAAGCAGCAAGTAAGAAAGTGTATAAAGCTGCTTTACCTGCACCTGGGAAGAGTCCTCTGGTTGTCTCAATGAGACCCATTTTTGCAGATGATGCTGATAGGAAAAGCAACAGAAGAAGGAAGTCACTTTAACACATATGCATGATGCTGTTTACCTGTGCTAAACTTTTGTTAGGATTGTGCTCATGGTTGTGCACGTGGGGGGGAGAAACAGTGATCAACCTGTGTCACGTGGTGAGTTCAGAGGTCCTACAGCCTACCTTTGGACATTAAGGCTGCATGCAAGCAACACCTCTTGTTGCCAGGCTCATGCCTTAGTCTTCTTCACTCTCTTCTTACACCAAGGCAGTGGCTAAAACTAGCTTCAGTTACCTGCAATGTATGAATGTAGGCACACAGGTTAACCAAAGTTAGTTTCCTGTCTTTTAACTGGGATCCTAAGCTGTGGAGTTTTGTGAACAAAAATTCTACTTTGTGAGCTACTGGCATTAAAATTGTGAGTGAGTGATTTGGCTACTGCATAAATTAGTTTGCTCTGGAGCCATCCTTCCTGAGCAAAGACAAAAATGTGTGAGCTGGAGGCTAAAAAACTGTGAACTAGCTCACACTAACTCAGCTTAGAGGGAACACTGAGCCTAAACCACAATCCTGGTTAGTGGTAATGAACGGGGGACCAACTCCAGTTAACTCACACACTGGCATTTGTACATCATGAGTCACAGTTAGTACTTAACAAGAATTCTTGACACAACACCAGAAGGAGTGAGGCATGCATGCGAGCTTGTTAACAGACTGGGCTCATGCACATTTCCCCTTAATCACAGTTAACAGTATGATGTCTGAATACTGTCAGGGAGCCCGACATATAGGGAGGAGGACCCCTGCCTGGTATTTTAACTTTCGGTTCTTACTGCCTGACAATACTCTGTTATCTCTATGTTTTATGTGGCTGACCTTGAGGGCCTACCTGTAACATATTCCCTGAGAACTATTCGGTTGCCGGGGTATGTTACTTTGGGCGGGCTCCTCCTAATTCCTTGATTGGCTACGCGCCATCAAGGTACCCCTTTGAACCCAGTGTATCTCCCATCCCCGCGCCTTTTCCGTTAACGTTAAAACAGATCCTATAATGTAGATCTTCTGCCAATACTGTACCAATAAACTTCACTTCTGAAGAAGAGAGTTGTTGGATCTGATTGCTGCAGGAGTCTGACAAATACTGCCTAAGTGTCCCTGTAACACAAAGTTATGTTGGCGTCCATACCTGCCACTCGGAGATCACAAGCTAGTGCCAGTTCCAAGCCTCCACCCAATGCATAGCCTTCAATTGCCGCAATTGTTGGCATCGGCAATGAGGCTGTAAGAAAATAAGATTTTTTTAAATGTGGAGCGAGTACTCTGTACAATCTACTTATAGTAACTAATGACTGTCCAATAAAACACACAAAATTACTCACATTTACTAAAGGATATTTTTATACTGCAGCCTTAAATACATTATCACGTTAGTGTGCCACAGGAAAAGAGGTATAATTCATTTCATAGTAAGAGGGTCTGCTGAACAGAATTGTACACAATAAATCGTAATTTAGCAAGCCTAGCTAGCACATTGACTCAGTATGGGTACAATAATTTTACTGATTTAATGGCACAGCTGAGAGTTCCTTGGACCAAGTGCTCCTCTCTCCTCCTCTCTATCTGAGAATAATTCTAGTTAGTGTCATGACATTACATTAAAAGGGCTGTTTAACTACTTACCAACACCATCCATTAAGCTTCTAAGCCTTTGAACAAAATGAACAGCTTGAGAATCAGTCATCTGAGCACGCTGTTTTAGGTCAGCACCTACATTTGGAGCAGCAGCAGATAGTTTGTTGATACAGAAAGGGAATGCAAAGAGTTGAGCAGTGTTGCTTCAGCACACCAATAATTGCCTTACAAGCTGCAAGAAAATCCTATGCAGAATTTAGTCCACCAGAGCCCATTAAGATCAGTGGAGAGTGCACTTAACTCTGCATAAGATTGATCTGTTAAAGTGACCACTTGCCAATTAATCACAGCTGTCTGGTTTTGGGAATGTCTGTCTCTTTTAGTAGACTTCTGAATCAGTTCTGATAGTATTGTATATTCCTATTGTATACTTGTTAATGAAATCAGATAGAGAACCATATGGCCCACAGCAATGTTTTTCGATTTAATAGTCTACAACTTTTACCTATTATTTTGGGGGTAGTGGTGGCTGTAAATATTTACATCACAAAATGTTCTCACCCACCTGCACAAAAAACACCTTTTACATTGCTCTTGATTATCACTACACGAACATTTTCATCATAACGGAGAATGTCAAGGGTTTCATAAAGCTAAGGGGAGAGAACGTAGTCAGAATTCAAATAAAAAATTCTATCTGAGCCCATAACTTTATGGATATCTTGATCAGGTGACTATTGCTGAAAATTGCATATGGAAGCTCTATTCTGAAGGAATACATAGGGAACCTTAAACCACAATATATGTGAAAACTAGACATTATAGCAAATCAGTGAAGTATATTGGATCTTCAAAATTCTGACAGATTATCTTACTACTACCTTATATAACACTATTCTAAATTTACTATATGAGCAATTTATTCCTTCATATTATGATTTCACTCTAAAAACCATGTACTCCATTAAAAAGATTCTGCAGAATAAATTACCTGAGGATTATGCTGTTTAACACAGATGAACTGTATGCCCCACCACACGTCTCCTTGATCCGTGCCCATTGTGGCTAGTTAAAGCTGGTCATGATGGGTTCCGAGGTGCCCTAGGGGAGATTATCAACAAATCCCTCTTGGAGGGTCTGTTCCCTGGGACACTTGAGGCCATTGTTCGTCCCCTCTTGAAAAAACCATCTCTGGACCTGGCTGAATTGGCTAACTACTGGCTGGTTTCCAACTTGGCCTATTTGGGCAAGCTAATCGAGAGGGCCGTTGCAGCCAGCCTCCTCAGCCTTGAACCCAGGGTGGTCTTTTCCGAGAGAGAGACACCCCAAAAACGACCTCTGAACCTCCACAAGCAGTGCCCTATGAAACCAGGCTTGGCTTAAACAGTGGCTTTTGCTGGGAGGCTAGGAAAACCACATCTTGACTGAGAAAACTCAGGCCAAAGAGAATTCTCCAGGCTGGCTGCAGTGCCAAGCATTCTCCATGTAAGCAACACCCCCCCCCCCAGGAAAAACCCCCCCCCCCCCCATGTCTATCCTGTCAGCTTAGTCCAAAGAGGACAAGAATGGGCAAGTCTCTGCCCTTGCCTCAGGCATCTTCCACTGGCCAAATGGCTAGTCTGTCAAATGTACAGGCAGGCAGGGACAAAAAGCCTCTGGTCTGTGCTATTGTCATGAATGAAGTGTGTTGCATATTTCCATCCTCCTCTCCTGTTTCACCTATCTGCATTCTTACGCCTATGCCAGACCTATCAAGGAAACATTAACTCTCCATGTCTAGTGAATGGTCAGCCATTTAAAGCCCTTTATGGTCAGGGTCCAGCATACCTAAGGGATTGCCTTTCCCCATACCCATACGTCCCCCAGAGAGCAGGGGCCCAAAACCGGCTGACCCTCCCAGGCCCCAAAGATGCCAGGCTGGCGATAACCAGGGCCAGGGCCTTCTCAGTGGCCGTTCTGCATTGGTGGAATGAGCTCCCGGAGGAGATCAGAGCCCCACAGGACCTCTTACAGTTCCGCAGGGCCTATAAAACAGAGCTCTTCCACCAGGCCTTCGATTAGGAGCCGCACCAAACACCTGAGAAGTGACCCTGTGCCCTGGCCTACAACTTACAGCCTGTGCTCACCGCATACATAATCGGATTAACTGAGCTACTGTGAAAATGTTATCATGACTGCCACCTAAGTAGTACTGTTAAGCTTGAAACTTTTCCTCTCACAGTTTACTTGAATATTGTACCAGCACTTTTGGATAACTAATATTTAATTGTTATGGTGTTTTTATTAATGATTTAAACTGTATTTATATATGTACTTTTACGTAAGGCACCCTGAGCCTGCCTTGGTGGGGAGGGCGGGGTATAAATCGAATGAATGAATGAATGAATAAATAAAATATTCAAATAGTGGTTACATAACTGAAAGTGAGAAAAAGGCTTTTACTTACTTCATCCACAAACACTTTACCCAATGCATTTTTGGCATGTGGTCTGTTCATCTGAATTTCTGCAATGCCTTTAGTTTAGAAAAAAAAGGAACAGGTGATCCCATGTTTAAAGTTTAGTACTGCAATGTTGGTAGTGGAGAGTACCTCCAGAACTTATATCTGATATTTGCTGTTTTCTGGAGTATTTTCCATTGCAAATGAAGAAAAACAACAACAACTTAACACACTGTAATTTTAGGACAAAAGGAGCCTGCATCAAAGAGAAAGTATTTAAACTGAAAGGATGGAACTATTATTATTGCTAGTCCACAACTAAGGCTCTTGTATAAAGTGAAGCTCTGCCATGGATTGCACTTTTCAAAAGCCTTGGTACCTCAATAATTAAGCAGCTCACTTTCTGACACCAAGCATGAAATAAGACATGTGAACACAGACATAAAGAAATACTAGTATCTTCTTCCGACTAGTATGAATGGTTCCTTCACTGGCAGGCCAGAATCCTTGCTGATTTGACAGTGTGCGTCCTCTTCCTTGCATCCCCACGTCCCTACCAGAAGCCCCCCCCCCCTCCAGCCATCCTGTCTGGAAAATAATCGTGGTTGGTTTTTTTAAAAAATTAAGTCCATATGGGCAGGAAGAGAGGATACCGAGGCAGTGGTTTACAGCAACCCTGTCGCATAATCCAATTTTCTAATTACGATTTAATTTGGAGACAGAAGTTGACAGTTGTTAAATAATAAACGCTACAGTGAAAATTACAGGCACTTGCCCTCACCTGAACACTTTTTGCTGGTGCCTGTTTTGAGTTCCCACCCCCAAAAGTGCTCCCCCCCCCCCACAACAAACACCCGGTTGTGGCAAATTCCTCCGCCATCCCCCCCTACCTTGTGCTCTTCCTCGTCTACCAGAGTTTATAGAGGTCTCAAATGGAAGACGGGTGGGGTGGGGGGTGGACTGCAAGCCCTTTTACTCAGGCAACTTCGCAGCTCGGAAGGGAGGGAGGGAGAAAATCGCTCTTGACGCTTTGACGGGCAGCTACGGTGCTCATGTACACTTTTACTTCAAAGGTTTTGTTTTGTTTTGAAGGCCCTGCCGAAGGGCCACTGGCTCCGCACTCACCGCACTTTGCCTCCCCATGAACGTGTAAGAGGATCTCTTTTTTCTTCCCCGCGGACGTGGGTCTTCTGGGGACCCTGCCAGATGTATCGAGACACTCGGCCGAGAGCGTCCGAAACCAAACTGTTGCCCTTCCTAGTCGAAACATCGCCTCTCCTTGCTGACCGCCCTTCTTTCTCTGCAGGCCGCTCTAGGGGACAGGGGCGGAGTGGAGAGGAACCGCCCCCATCTCAAGTGACTCTGGCTGGAGATGTCTTTCCTTAAAAAAACTAAGGCGTTCGGATGCAACCCGGTCAAATGCTGCTTTCTCACAGGAAGGAACCAAAGACACCCGTTATGGAGTTTTACGCGGGTCTGGGTAAAAGTCGGATCTAAATGGATCCTCATGAATTTCATACGATTTTTACATTGAAACGAAATAAAACCACCATCATATTGTTGGTCATGTGTTAGTCTACAAGGGGCACCACAAAAATCAGGCATCCACAGATTCGTGGCACCACAGCAGCGTAAAAACATGATTCCAAACCAGGATCCTCGTGAATTCATATGATTTTTACACTGAAATGAAATAAAACCAACATCATACTGTAGACCATGTCTTAGACTATAGGCAGCATTCCACAAATCATGCCCCCAGGAATTCGTGGCACCACAAAACTGCAAAAACATGGTTCCAAAGCATGGATCCTCAGGGTTTTCCAATTGAGTAATCAGAAACACACTATCAAATCACATAACATGTCCACGGCCACAGCTTGCACCAAAAAAATCATGGATCCACGGCTTCCTGGTGAATCCATTCTGCAAAAACATGATTCTGAAGCACGGATCCTCATGGATGTTTGGGGTTTTTGTGTTGGGACACCCCAAACATACCATTAAATCCCATATCATGTCCATGGCCACAGCCCACACCACAGAAATCACAGTGCAACGGCTGTGTGGCAACACCATGCTGCAAAAACATGGTTCTGAAGCATGGATCCTCATGGATCCCTATGATTTTTGCATTGTGTCACCCCAACATCACCATCAAATAATATGCCTTGTCCATGGCCACAGAATGCACCACAGAAATCACATGTCCACAGCTCTGTGGCGACACCATTCTACAAAAACATGGTTCCAAAGCACAGATCCTTGTGGATCCTCAGGGTTTTTCAATTGGGTCACCCCAACATCACCATCAAATCACATAGCACATCCACGGCCACAACTTGCACCACAGAAATCACATGTCCACAGCTCTGTGGCGACACCATTCTACAAAAACATGGTTCCAAAGCACAGATCCTTGTGGATCCTCAGGGTTTTTCAATTGGGTCACCCCAACATCACCATCAAATCACATAGCACATCCACGGCCACAACGTGCACCACAAAAATCACAGATCCACAGCTCTGTGGCGACACCATTCTACAAAAACATGGTTCCAAAGCACAGATCCTCGTGGATCCTTAGGGTTTTTTAATTGGGTCACCCCAAACACACCATCAAATCACAAAGCACATCCATGGCCACAGCCTGCACCACAGAAATCATGGTGCCACGCCTCTGTGGCAACACCATGCTGCAAAAACATAGTTCTGGAGCATGGATGCTTGAGGTTTTTGTTGGGTCACCCCAAACACAACATCAAATCACATAACATGTCTATGTTCACAGCTTGAACCAGAAAAGTCATTGTGTCACCCCAACATCACCATCAAATAATATGCCTTGTCCATGGCCACAGAATGCACCAAAAGTCATATGTCCACAGCTCCGTGGTGACACCATTCTACAAAAACATGGTTCCAAAGCACATCCTCGTGGATCCTCAGGGTTTTTCAATTGGGTCACCTCAACATCACCATCAAATCACATAGCACATCCACGGCCACAACTTGCACCACAAAAATCACAGATCCACAGCTCTGTGGCGACACCATTCTACAAAAACATGGTTCCAAAGCACGGATCATCGTGGATCCTCAGGGTTTTTCAATTGGGTCACCCCAAACACACCATCAAATCACCACATAGCACATCGATGGCCACAGGCTGCACCACAGAAATCACAGATCCACAGTTTCGTGGTGAATCCATTCTGCAAAAACATGATGCTAAAGCATGGATCCTTATGGATCATTGGGGGTTTTGTATTGGGACATCCCAAACATATCATTAAATCCCATATCATGTCTATGACCACAGCCTGCACCACAAAATTAATGTTGCCACGACTTCATGGCAATTCCATGCTGCAAAAACATGATACAAAGCACGGATCCTCATGGATCCTTAAGGTTTTTGCGTTGCATCACCCCAACATCACCATTAAATCACATACCTTCTCCATGGCCACAGAATGCACCACAGAAATCACATGTCCACGGCTTCATGGTGACACCATGAAGCCAAAACATGGTTCTGGAGCATGGATCCTCACGAATGCTTTGGGATTTTGTGTTGGGACACCCCAAACATACCATTAAATCCCATACCATGGCCATGGCCACTACTTACACCACAGCATTAAGGGGTCCCGGGCTTCATGGCAACACCATGCTGCAAAAACATGGTTCCAAAGCACGGATCCTCATGGATCCTCAGTGTTTCTGTGTTGGGTCACCATGTACTCACCATCAAATCACATATCATGTCCATGGGCACAGCTTGCACCACAAAAGTAATGGATCCATGGCTTCGTGGCAACACCGTGAAGACAAAACATGGTTCTGGAGCATGTATCATCATCGATTCTTGTGGGTTTTGTGTTGGAACATCCAAACATACCATTAAATCCCATATCATGTCCATAGCCACTACTTGCTCCACAGAATTCATAGATCCACGGCTTCGTGGCAACATGCTGCAAAAATGTGGTTCCAAAGCACGATTCCCATGCATCCTCAAGGCTTTTGCGTTGGGTCACAATGAACACACCAACAAATCCCATCTCATGTCCATGGGTACAGGTTGCACCACAAAAGACATGGAGTCGGTTTCCTGGCAACACCATAAAGCCATAACATGGTTCTGAAGCTGTAACGGAAGTGACAACGGAGGGGGGAGGGCGTGAAATGCTCCCCTGCCTCTCAGAGCCCCGGGGTGGTGGCCTTGGAGTCCCAGGGGCAAATTCCACCTCACGTGTGTGAGGTCATTCTGGCTCCCCCAGGTCTTGTTAGGGGCTCTTTAAAAAGTTATGGCTGCCGGTGGCGGCAGCAGTGCTAATGGCAGCGGCAACGGCAGTGGGGGGAGGGGCGCAAAATGTTCCCCCCCTCTCTGAGCCCCGGGGTGGTGGTCTTGGAGTCCTAGGGGCAAATTCCACCTCTCGCATGTGATGGTGTTGCCACTTGGCCATCACCCACAAGAGGTCATTCTGGCTCCAGCTTATTTTGCACTCTAGGCAAGGATCCCTTCTGGCGCCCCCCCCCGTCAGTGCAGTTTGGCGCCCCTCATCAGGGCACCTGGAGAAGAGGCTGACCGGCAGGGCGCTCACAAGCCGTGCTCCCGGCCCTACTGCTGCAGCTGCCAGTCCGCAGCGGAGGGAGGAGGAGAAGTGCTCCGCTGGGAAGCCGAGGGGGCAGGCAGGGAGAAGTTAGCCAGCCAAAGAGGTGGCAGCAGCAGGAGTTACCCGGCCATGGAAATGCAGGTCTTTAGGCGGGGGCTTTTGGTGGGGGGCGGGTGCAGTTTAGCGCCCCAAAGGCGAACGCCTAGTTCTCCTTGTGAGCGAGCCGGCCCCCCCAGGTCCTGTTAGGGGCTCTTTAAAAAGTTATGGTGCCGGTGGCGGCAGCAGCGCTAATGGCAGCCGCAAGGGGGAGGCACGAAATGTTCCCCCGCCTCTCTGAGCCCCGGGGTGGTGGCCTTGGAGTCCTAGGGGCAAATTCCACCTGTTGGCCGAGCGGCATCACACGCGAGAGGTCATTCTGCCTCCCCCAGGTCATGTTATTGCTGCCGGCAGCGGCAGCAGCGCTAATGGCAGCCGCAAGGGGGAGGCACGAAATGTTCCCCCGCCTCTCTGAGCCAAGGCTGTTCCTCAAGCTCCACTGACCCACTACCAGAACGAAACTGCAGAGTACTCAGTGGGCTGCAGTGAAAGGGGGAACTCCCACTATATGAGGTAATCTGAAGTAATCAGTTTTTAGAAAAATAAATTTTAAAGGTAAAGAAACAACAACAACAACAAAGTTCCTTATATATGCTACATTTAAGTTGCCCTGGAACACAAACAGCCATTCAAGTTTGTCTCTTAATACTAGGCAACTTATAGTAGATGAGCACTCAAAGTATTCATATTTACTTAGATATTCACAGTGAGCAATGCATAGTGAGCAATAGCCTAAACTCCTGAGAGCCCCTAATGAGGCTGCTGTCCCTTGAAAAGAAGACCTGCTAGTAGCAGCTGTAGCTTTCATTTGCATCTTGCTTCATTCTTTCAACAGTCTTCTACAGTCCCCCCTTCACCCTGCAGGATGGTTTCTGCACGGAAACAGGCTCTGTCATTTCCCCACTGCTACTGCAGTGGCCAATACAGTACAGCAGCAACACAGCTTTCACAGGGCAGATTCGCCTGCATTCTTCCTGCCCTAGGATGCCGGTAGGAGCTGCTCCCACCCGATCACTGGGGGGCCTTTTCATTTTTTAAAAAAAATCTACAACCTTAAAGACTACCAACATTTATTTCAGTGTGAGCTTTCTTGAGTCGCAGCCCATTTCTTCCGATAACTAAAATCGGTATTAGCTGACTTTCAAAGACTTGGAGAGAGTGCTGACAAACCACATTCCTTGCTGGGGTTAGGGATACTATTGCTTTAAGAGAAAGGAGGCGGGACCTGAGCGAGTGGGCGTCTTCTCTTCCTTCAACCTTTGCCTTCCTTTCTACCAAACAAACGGCGTTGGTGAATTCGCAAGCGGCTGTTTCTTTAATTTGAGGGTGGTCGCGGGATTCGCAAAGTGGCGCACGTGCTGACGTAGCGGCAGACGAAGCATACGGCAATGGCACCCCCTGCAGTAGCACCGGCGCTAGGAAGGAGGGTGTTTGTGGTTGGGGTCGGCATGACTAAGGTACTGGAGCGTGGCTGGGTCGAGGGTCTTTTGGTCCCTAATGCTGACGGCGAGAGAACAGGGAGGGGCTACGGACGGGCCATCCTTTCCTGGCGGCCAAAGTAAACTCGTGTCCTGTGACACTTTAAAGTGTTAATAGGACAGTAGTAAATGGTTAAGAAAGGTGCTATTATAATACAGACCATTTTGCTAGATGCATGTAGTGGAGCCTCACTAAGGTAGATGTACGAGGTATGTGAATAAGTTACGAAAGAAAAATATAAATATTGGGTGACACAATTACATAGATAGATTCAAGTGAGTAGCCCTGTTGGCTTGAAGCAGCAGAACAGAGTTTGAATCCAGTGGCACCTTTAAGACAAAAGTTTTCTTTAATATATAAGCTTTCGTGTGTAAGCACACTTCCTCAGATACAGCGAAACAGAATTTCCTCAAGCAAAGCTCTATATACAGGAAGACTGGGCAGGGCAGCCATCAGAGTAAAGATGCATAAGTAAAGCCAGTTTGGTGTAGTGGTTAAGTGCGCGGACTCTAATCTGGAAGAGCTGGGTTTGATTCCCCACTCCACCACTTGCACCTGCTAGGTGACCTTGGGCAAGTCATAGTTCTGGCACAGCTGTTCTTGAAAAAGAGCAGTTTCTTTCAGAACTCTCTCAGCCCCACCTACCTCACAGGGTGTCTGTTGTGGGGAGGGGAAAGGAAATGAGTTTGTAAGATGCTTTGGGTAGTGAAGGGCGGGGTATAAATCCAGTCTCTTCTTCTTCTAAAGATGAGATTGTATCAAGGTGGCCTAAAATCAATTAATGGCATCAAATTAGCACACAAATTGTGAGGGCTAACAAACAGATGTAAGGATGAAGCTTGAGTCAGCACCACCCCCAAGACCAACCAAGAGAGGCTCTGCATGTGTAGATGCACATTTCTTCAAACACACTGAAAAAGATTTCCTCAAATATTATGTATTGGGGGGGGGTTAGTTGCCTAGAAGAGCTAATTAGAGTCAAGATGCATATAAATACACCTAAGATTGGAATAACACATTTGGTAAGACATGTAAATAGCAGCAAATTAGCATACAGATAATAAAGGGTGTGAGAACTAAGTTTGAGTCCACACTTGAGTTCAAGTGTAATCAAGAAAAGTACTGATATCATTTGAAACAGTAATTGGCAATATTTCTAATTTTACAGTACTGATTAATAGTTGTAATGACTGAGGAATTACAAGTCCTGCCTCTCGACAGTATAAAACTTTGATGAATTCTCATTCAGATTCACACTGGAATCTCTCTTCTTTTCCTTAAGAATCATGACTCTTAGTTCAGCAGTGGTTCTAAGAGATTAACATGTTCTCCCCAAGTTTCATGTATATTCCCGTTTTTAATATCAGAATAGTGACAATTTACTGTTTTCATTATGTACGATATAAAACGTAGAAGGGTATTCTTGGCCCGTGATGGCATATATCACATTAGATGATAATTAGTCCAAGGTGGTATATCTACCTAGTATATCTAGCTGATATTACTGCATCCTGTGGGCCAAACTAGACAATACTGCATCCCTGAGTAAGCCGTGGGGATGCAGTGTCATTTTAGAGTTTGTTTTTTCATTTTTCAATACTGTTGGGGCTTGATCCTGCTGTGGGCTGTGGCATGTGAAGGAATGAAAGGCTCTTGTCCCCCGCCCATCAAGTGCCTTAGTCTCAGACCTTCTAGGTAAGAACCAGAATGTTAAATTGTGCCCGAATTGTTCCAGGAAACCAATTGGCAGTCAGTGTAGTTCTTTCAGGGCTGGTGTGTCGTGATCTCCATAATGAATGCCACTTAGTTGCCTGCCTGTCACATTTTATGCCAGTTGACTTTTCTGGATATCTTCAAAGGCATCCCCATGTAGATTGTATTATAATAATCTAGTCTTGATGTGATCAAAGCATGGCTAAATCTCACTTCTCAAGGAAATGCTGTAATTGCTGCTAAACTGCGCTGCATGTCATAAATAGTTGGGCACAGATCTAGCAGGGCTCCCAAAATGAACCTGCTTTTTCAGCAAAAGTAAAACTCTGTAAAGAATTGGATTTAGTTTATTGGCCTCATCTAGCCAACTACTGCCTCCGTATGTTTGTGCAGAATAGAAAGCAGAAAGGTTTTCCTTTACTTTTCCCCATGAGGTATACCACCCCTCCCAAACTATTCTCTTCATCTAATGAAATAAATTATTCCCTGGGGTGTCCTGTGCTATCGTAGCACTCAAGAGTGTTCAGGGTTCTTTATGTGTGTTATCTCAATATCAGTACAGGATCTCTAGAAAACAAGTCCAAGTTCTTGTCCTTATACTGAAAATGGGATGCTGAAGGTGAGAGAGAAACTAGAGAGCCACCATCCTTTTTGTTTATTTTTAGTTACTTAAAATATTTTAGCTACCTTTCTTCCTTGCAGAGCTCAAGGCGGCTTACAATATTAATAAAATACATAAAATAGATTACATACAAACATAAAACTGAAACTAAAAATCACAATTTAGCACTGTTTTAATGAAATGCAGTCCTAAATAAAACCATATTCAGGTGCCTTCTGAAGATCAAAAGTGAGGGGACCAATCTTAGACTACCTGTCTCAGCAGCAGTTCGTATCCTCTCAGTGGTCTCAATTTCATAAATGGATCTGAAATGTGGCTCGGTAATCTATTCTTCATTTCCATTGGTTTTAGTTCTTCATCTGGTTTCTATCAATTCAATATACTGAAATTCTCAAATTTCATAAACGTTATCACTACAGTAAGTACAGGAAAATCTGTATTACAAATGTTAAGACAATAGTAATGTCACGTTACAATCAAAGTTACATCTTACAAAAATATGTTTGTTTTATATTCATATTTTGTCTACTTGAAATTGTAATCTGTGTTATAAATTTACAAAGTTAATCTCAATAAAAAACTATAAATTAAAAAAAAAAGTGAGGGGACCAGGTGCATCTCCATGGGGAGGTTATTCCATAATTGTGGAGCTGCCACTGAAAAGACCGTCTTTCTCCTGTACCCACCAAATAAGCTTCTTTGATTGATGGGACAGTCCGAAAGGACCCTCTTTGTGATCTTAATTCCTGGGCAGGAACATATGGGAGATGAGAGTCCTTCAGATAACCCTGTACATGTACAGCTTTAAAGGTCAAAGCGGTGTACAGCTTTAAAGGTCAAAACCAACACCTTGAATTGGGCTCAGTGGATCGGTAGCCAGTTTGCCGTCTCTTCTGATACCGCAAAGTTTCTGTGCGTTATTTTTATGTTGCATAACCTTGGGAGTGCTTACTGGAAAGTCCAGCAGAGCATACACGAAATCAGACCTTTGAACTTTGTTTTAATCTCTGTAAGGAGATGCATCCTTGCTCTGTACTTGCAAAATCTAGCATTGACCTGAACACTATTTTTTCTCACAAACCTCCATTAGAAGATGAAATTCCTTTTTGTACTTGTTCTTCTCATGTGATATTATGACTAAACTGTGTGATGGGTTAAAAAATTCAGCATCTCTCATCATGAACATAAATATGTGATGGGCATTCCTCTGCATGAAGAAAGCAGATTTGTATTATTTAAAGTATACCATATCTCCCTGCTCCTTCTTATTACATCACTGCCATTTCTATGTTTTGGAATTATGTGGTAGAAGAGGTATTGAGTGAGTTATAATCCTTTACAAAGAATGATGCTTTATTTCTCGCTAGCAAAATGGGGTAATCTTCAATTCATTGTGTTTATTTACTTAGCACTTTATCATTATTGTAATGTGATTTTACTAAATATTCATCTAAATAGTAAGTTCATTCACATAATATGTTAATATGCTCTTATACTATTGGGGTAAGGTAAATTTATGTGAGGTTTGTCTTGATCCTAGCCAATCCGTATGATTATTTTAATGTGTTTCTTTAAAGTTGCCAAAGAACTTTTTATAGTAGAAAAAAATCATAAACTCTGGAAATCAAGTAATTAAAGTAATCCTGATACTCACTTGCAATGTGCTTTATGTGCAAACTTTATGTTCTCTCACTCATTCTGCTTGTTGGGACAGTTTATAATGTTGTATTAATTATATTTGGTTATGTTTTATACTGAAAGCCTGTAAATTAATAAGTATAACTTTATCCCCTGTCCAATTACATAAGAGGTTCTGCCTTTCTTCCCATCTGGCAGGTGTACAACATTCTTTAATTTGAACTGTAATTAAGCAAAAATCTGTTTTTCTGTACAGAAGTCAAAATGGAGCATGTACTCTCTTGACCAGATTAAGTAAAAATGCATAGGGTGTGCTGGTATGCTAGATGCCCAAAAGTGATAATATCACAGTAAGTGTTGGAGTGGCCTCTTCAGAAAATATTTGCATTTTGGCTTGTGGATTGCCAATACTGAAATGAGTTAATGGGCTTCCTCCTTTTTAATCTCCTCCGTTAGTACAAAATAGTACTTTAGATTTAGTGCAAAACAGATTTGCATCTGTAAAAAAAAAAGTGAAGAAATCTCCCCTTTATTGGCCTTCTGTGAGCCCAGATGAAATGTAATATGTTTGAGAGGTGACCAGTTTCCTTCAGTGGCCGGTACAGTGTCTCTGTAAGATACATGTGTACTAAAAGGATCTGTGCAAGTCCTTGGTAGCATTTATGTCACTCAACTGTATAGTTTACATATTGTGAATCAAAAGTAGTGTAGGAATCCTAAGAAATCATGTTTTTGTGTTCTTTTAATCCTGTCTTTTCATCCCATCAGTTTGAAAAGCCTGGGTCCCGTGAAGATTTTGATTACCCGAATATGGCTGAAGAAGCAGGTACTGTGTTTGAGTCACTGTGTTTGAATTTTAGCACCCTGTCTATAACTTTGCTGAGCTACACAGCCCTGTGTAGAGCATTGCTGGCAGCATCCTCAGCCCCAGAGAACCCTGGGCTTACTTGGGGTCCAAAAGATACATGGGCCAGCTCCTCTGCTGATACTGCTGTGCTTAAGAGAAATTGCAACACCCTTTAGTGAGGATCTGCAGACCTCTAGTTGGCCAATTCGCTGGTCAGGAACTGTTGTAACCAGTGTTCCCTCTAAGCTGGGTTAGTGTGAGCTAGCTCACAGGTTTTTTTAGCCTCCGGCTCACACATTTTTGTCTCAGCTCAGAAAGGGTGGCTCCAGAGCTGACTAATTTATGCAGTAGCCAAATTGCTTGCTTACAACTTTAATGTCAGTAGCTCACAAAGTAGAACTTTTGCTCACAAGACTCCACTGCTTAGAGGGAGCATTGGTTGTAACTACTCTAGCCTTTCAAGCAGCAGTTATCAGCTTCTGTACATTAGCTGTCCCTTCCAGGTATGGCTGGGGTTTGTAAACAGATGGGATCGGGGAGGATGGTGTCAGCATAGTGGAGAACTTTTATCTGGTGAACAGTGCTGTCCCACATATGCTTATCTTGACGTTCTCCCACTATGTTCCATGGGACCTACTCATATGTAAGTGTGCATAACTCTGAAAACACTTCTGAAAGATAAGTTGATTGCACAAAAATGGAATGGGGAATGTAACAATATATATAATTCTAAAAAGTGTAACAGGAGTAGATTTTGGGTAATATCAGTTCCCTCATTTGTTAGAAAAGCAAATAAGTTTCAGATAAACTATCCCTTTTTGTCAGGACAACTGGTTGAGTAGCGTAAGTATGTTTGTAAAAGGACTAGACAGCTGCCATACCATTGGCAGTAAGTTCCATGACTGCAGCAGCTTGAAAAAGTGTTGCTGCAGTTATAGAACATGACCCTGGCAATGTGCAGGCTGTATATATCCATGTACTTCTCTACTTCATGTTGTGTTATTCTTCCAAATGTATACCTAAGGGCCGTTGAGATTATTGTATGAAGCAATAAATGTCTTGTGTGAACTGGTCTAAGTCTTGTAAAGTACTTGTTATTTAATTTGAGATGAAATGCATGCCATTCATCTTTTGTTTTTTAAAGCTTCCTAAGTTGTTAAGTTTATAAAACCCTACAACAGATATCTTCAAGAAAAGCTTAACAATGTTTAAACACATTTAGGTCAGAAAGCGCTCAGCGATGCAGGTATTCCTTATTCAGCTGTGGAACAGGCTTATGTCGGCTATGTTTATGGTAAGTAAAGCTTTTTGCTAAGGGCTTGACCCTCATCCTGGTTCCTGCCATATTTTATGCCTGCAATTATGCACTGCATCCTGTAGCAGGCATAAAATAGTTGCCTAAAATCCTTACAAAAAATTTAGATCACTATTCAGTTGTCTCACTAAATGCTGGTCATGGTACTTTAATTAGAAACTAAATTTACACAGGAAGCTGTCAGTACAATTGCATGAATAATTTGAAGTATTGGGGGGGGCTTGTATGGTTGCAAAGTAGTTGTTCCATATATACTTTTATCTCTTTTTACTGCTAGAATTCTTGAGAACTTCTAGTTGAGGCAGGGGTAGAATGTTAATTATGTATGTAAATCACTGTAACCCCGTTCTTTACATTCCTTGCATGTGTGAACATTTTTAAATATTATCAGAAAATGCTTGGATAAAGAAGCAGAAATAGCTGAATATGTTAACCAAGAAATGTATCCTTCCAGCACTGCAAGAATCATACACATTTTTTGACACTAGTAAGTAGGTGACATGAAAATGGAGGTACAAAATATACCTCTACCAGTTGCAAAACATCTACTAAATGAACAATTTTAGAAGTGTATAAAATTCATCAGGATGGTAATGACTACTGTGTCACTGAGTCAGCTGCCTCTTATCTTTTTATAAAGGTGACTCAACCTGTGGTCAGAGGGCTGTTTATCACAGTTTAGGACTAACAGGCATTCCTATTGTGAATGTGAACAACAACTGTGCCACTGGATCTACTGCATTGTTTATGGCCAGACAATTAATTCGGGGTGGTGAGTTAAATTTATTTACTCTACAAAGCAATATGAGCACAGTATTCTACAATTAAACATTTAAAGGAGAAGTCTTTCTCTGGGGAGGCTTTTTATTTAACACAACCTATTTTATTTTCTTAACTTTTTCAATTGAGGATT